GGGCGGGCGCGGCCCGCCGCACTGCGAACTCCGGAGCTGGCTAGTGGGCTCTCGGACCTGGCGCTGAGCGCAGAAGGCGGGCCGGGGCTGGCGCGTGTGCCGGCCCCTGTCCGGCCAGCAGCTCCAGCAGAGGGACAGGCGCCCTCAGCGCAGCCGGCGCCTGCAACATGCTCGCGTGCAGTGCGCACCGGGCGCCTGGCCACCGGCGGGGGCCCGCCCCGGCCACGTCCCGTTTATTCCCGAGTCACGAGCTTAGAACCAAGCACAGCGGTCCCGGAGCTGGGTTGGGGCGCCTCTGGGCTGCATGGCCCCGCACCCAGCCCAGGTTTGCGAAGACCGTGCCCCAGGAAAGCACTGACACGCGGCGGCCTCGCGCCGACGCACACGGCGCGGCGAACTGGAGAAGCCGCAGGTCTCGTTTAAGGTTCGCAGAGAACGTCCTGCGGCCACCGGCTCGCGCGTCGTTGTCCCAGGACGGAGTCCTGACTAAAGACAGCGCGGAGGCTCGCCAGGACGCGGCCCGGGACTGCAGGCCCCCAGGCCGGCAGGCAGTCCAGCACCGGTCAGCGCGGGGAGGGCCGCCGGGAGGGGCCGGGGAGGGCAAGGGGCTGAGAAGAGCTGCCGTGTCGCCAAGATGTCCGCGGAACCAGAGGAGCCAGGGCGCTGAAGATGAGCCGGAGACGGTGTGCTGCCTCGCTGGGCGTGTGGGGTGATGGCGGCAGGCACTGGAGGCAGGAACCGCTGGCAGGATGTGTTGAGCTAAAGGCACAGACTGAAACAGGACTCCCTGCACTTGGCGAGCGAGTGGCCTTCCCCCTGGTGGGCTCCCAGCCGCACAGCAGCCGAGGCGTCGGCCTCCCTGCCTGACCAGCCCCACGCTGGCGCGTGTCCGCCGGGACGCAGGTGACCTGGCTGTTCTGGGATTCGAGAGTTTGTGCTCTGGAACCGGTAGAGCTTCCGGCCGCCGGTACAGCCTGGACAGCGAGGTGGACGCCCAGTCCCAGCAGCGGGGCGGTCGCGAGCCA